GACTGACAGTATAAATGTTTGGTACTGGTGTCCTTCCTCAAGGAGACCAAGCCTTCCTCTCATCTGAAGAGTTCTGGGAATTGGTTGAGGGGCCGTGACTTTCTGTTTTGATAATTCAGATTAGGCAATTGTTCATTTAACCTAGAACATTTCTGCTTATACAGATCAGGTAAGAATTTATATAGACTTTACATCTATTTCAACATGATCAACCAGCGAAAGCCATAGGTCTCTGAGTCAGAGAGTCAGACTATTCTGATTACTGCTTTGACTCTGCTGTTGGTTAGCCTACCCACCATGTCCTTGGCAGCAACAGTACAGTGATGCATCACTTACAGACCGGGATTAGTTTTGAGAAATGTGTCATTAGGCAAGTTGGTACTTGTAGGAACAGTATAGAGTGCACTTACACAAACCTAGAAGGCACAGCCCACTAAACATCTAGGCTACATGGTATAGCCTATCACTCCTGGGCTATCAGTATGTATCATTTCTTTGTTTATTTCCATAAACACAGAAATGTACATACAGTAACTATGGTTTAAGGATTAAAATGGTTCACCTGTATAGGGCACTTACTATGAATGGAACTTGCAGGACTGGAAGTTGCTCTGGGGGAGTCAGTGAGTGAGTGGTGAGTGACATTGCTGTCCACTACTGTAGACTTCATATAAACACTGTCCCATAAGACCTCCCCATGCTTTCTTCTGACAGGGTCACAAACAGAACATTGAAGCTGTTGACACTGCTCCATGAACAGGGATGTGGACTGGATTGATTAGAAATATCGAGGAGAAATTGACTGGGTAAGATGTAGATTACCGTAATAGACTATCAAGAGGGAGTGAAAGGTGCCCCTGAATCCTTAGGGTTAAAAAATCAAGATGGAAGATAAAGAAAAATGGAACACGAAAGATGGTAGAAGTGAGGACTCAATATTTCACTTTGGAAATTTGGTTTTGTTCATTTGATCCTATGCAGCACAAAGGGCGCTCTCTCTCTCTCTCTCTCTCTCTCTCTCTCTCTCTCTCTCTCTCTCTCTCTCTCTCTGTCTCTCTGGCATTGACCTAATGAAAAGAAATAAATCTTAGCTATGTTTTACATCAGCAGTCACCAACTGGTGGTCCACGGACTACTGGTCTGAAAGGTTAGTGACCGCTGCTTTACATCATTATCATCTGAAAATATTTTCAAACTACCAGGACAGGCTGGCTGCAAAAAAACTTACCTCATGTCGCCTCCTGCTCAAAACAGTGCCATATTTGTGATTTAGAAGAGTGCTTCTCAAACCAAATATGCAAAAGAAGCACCTTAGAATCTTATTAAATGCGCCCTGGCCAGTTTGGCTCAGTGGATAGAACGTTGGCCCTTGGACTGAAGTGTCAAGGGTGTGATTCCCAGTTAAGGGCATGTACCTCAATTGCCAGCTCAATCCCCAGTGTCCGTTGGGGTGCATGTGGGAGGCAACCAATCTGATGTGTCTCTCTCACATTGATGTTTCTCTCTCTGTCTGTCCCCCTCCCTTCCATGCTCTCTGGAAATTAATGAAAAAATACCCTTAGGTGAAGATTAACAATAACAACAAAAAAGATTCTTATTGCCTAGCAGAAATGGCTCAGTGGGTCATGTGCTGATTCCCAGTCAGGACACAAGCCGGGGTTGTGTATTCAATCCCCAGTATGGGGCCTGCTGAACAATAATTCTCTCTCATCATTGATGTTTCTATCGTTCTCTCCTTCTCCTTTTCTCTCTGAAATCAATAAAAGTGCATATAGCCGAAACCGGTTTGGCTCAGTGGATAAAGTGTCAGCTTGCAGACTGAAGGGTCCCAGGTTCGATTCTGGTCAAGGGCATGTACCTTGGTTGTGAGCACATCCCCAATGGGGGTGGAGGGGTGCAGGAGGCAACTGATTGATGTTTCTCTCTCATTGATGTTTCTAACTATCTCTCTCCCTTCCTCTCTGTAAAAAAAAAATCTATAAAATATATTTTTAAATAAATAATAAAAATATATATTATATATATATATTAAAAATGAATTTTACTAAGTGCATATTTTGATTCAATAGGCCTGAGGTGGGACCTGAGAATCAGCATGTCCACTTCCCAGGTGATGCTGTGGCAGTGTGTTTCCAAAAAATGACCACAGCCATATTTCCTGTCCTGCATGCACTCCCCATAAAGGGTAAAGTCCATTTCCCCTTGACTTGAACTGGCCAGGACTTTGCTCTTGCCTTAACATATGGAATGTGGCAAGAATGACTGCATGACTTCTGAGGTGTGTCATGCAAGGTGATGTGGCTTCTTCCTGGCTCATCTTTGGGGCTCTTGCCTTTGGAATCCACCCACCATGAAAGCCCAGTCTAGCCCAGGAAGAGAAACAACATGGAGAACAGAAGCCCCCAGTCAACAGCCAGCATCAAGAGCCAGACATGTGAGTGAATGTGCCTTTGGACAATTCTAGCTGAAGCAATCCCTGCAGATTGCAGATTCATGAGCAAAGTACATGCTGTCATTGTTTAAAAACAACTGAGTGTGGGGTTATTATGCATCAGTAGGTAGCTGTAGCTATGCTGTTAGATCACTAGATCATCTCCTGGCTCTTGTGTTTGCTATTTTTCTGCTTGTTACACTCTTCCCATTTCCTTTCTCTGCTTGACTCATTTTTAATTATTCCCTCAGTTTTCCTTTGAGATTATTTTCCTAATGTTCCAGGCAGGTCCTTCTGTTTCTTCTGAGTCCTTTCAGCCACTTGTGCCTCCGCCATCCCAGTCCCCAAGTGGTGAGGGGTTTCTCCCCTTTTGCTGGGCAGAGAGGTCCAGGAGGGAAGACCTGGTGCTGACCTGGTCATTGCCGTATGTAGCTCAGTAACATTGACATTGATAGCAACACAGGTGGAACTGGCCATATCCAACCACATTCCCTGAGTGCCTCTCCCATAGAGGTCACCTCCATGGTCCAGGCCATGGCTGAGAGCAACTCCCACCCAAGATATCAGGGGCCACTCCCCATGCTGTTCTTGCACAGTGAGCATTCCCTCCCGAGTTGCTCCCTCCAGTCTTCCCTTCATGCCTTTCCCCAACCCCAGTCCGTTTCCCCAATAGACTTGGCATCTGTGAAGCATGACCCAGGCAGGCCTGGGTGTAGCTTCCAAGAGGCCCCAGCCTCGTCCTAGAGTGCCAAGTGAGGGCAAGGGAGCTCTTCTCACTTGCATGCTCTTGGGTTGTCTTGCCCCTTCACTGGGTACTGGTCTGACTTCCAGCATTCTCCTCAGCCTTCCTTCCTTCCATCCCCCTTCCAGCAGAGCTCCCAGAAGCTTCAGAGCTAGCTAAGATTGGCTAAAGAGGACCAGGTTGGGGGATTGGGCTTGAATGACACACAAAGACCCCAGTCTTGAGGAACTCCATTGGATAAAAGGAAACAGTTTGTTCTTTAAGAAGGAAATCTCCATGGGGAGGAACTCAGCACCTCTCCTGTGCACGTCCTCACTCCCTACTAGAAATTGCTTCGATAAGAAATTGCAAAAATGGGTGTCCGGTTTTGTGAAGGCCTAAATATCTCTCCTGAAGAGATGTTTCCCCTCAGGCTGGAGCTCTCCGCCTTCTGTCTCGGGCATCTTTTCTGCAAATGTGGACCTAGGCAATAGGGACATTTACAGTCCACTTTTCCTCAGCCATCATGCGCCAATACCTGCCTGCCTCCTGCAGGTGGAGCTGTGACTCACTTGCAGCGGATCTGGGGACATCATAATCCCTCACTGCTCATCAGCTCACACTCACATTCCATGGTCAGACCTCTGAAATAGTGCTGTGCAACAGAAATACAACGGGGCTATGTGTGTAATTTTCATTTTCTTGCAGCCATATTTAAAAATGTAAGAAGAAACTGCATAAGCACTTGAAAAGATGCTCAATATCTTTACTAGTAACCATTAGGAAAATGCAAATCAAAACCACAATGAGATACCACCTCACACTCATTAGGATGGCTATTGTGAAAAAAAGAAAGAAAAGAAAAAGGATGTGGAGAAACTGGAGCTCTGGTGTACTGTTGGTGGAAATGTCAAATGGTATAATGTTGCCAGTGGAAATTCGGTCCTTTCAGGGAAAGGAAAGCTTCCGGAGATCCGTGTGGGAGTGGTAAGGTTTACTGAAAAAAGGACTGTCCCGGGTTCAGCTGTGGTGGCTCAGCTCCGGCCATCCCTGAAAGGAAAGTCCGGCCTTGTCTTCGTCAAGCCCAGAACACAGGCCAGCGTCAGCCGGTGGTCCCTGGAATGAGAATGCCCTTGGCAGGCAGCCCTGGGGTCCCTGGAGCTTCTATGCTTTGAATGCTGCAACTTCCTATGGAAGCAGGCTTATGCTGCCCCGTTGATTAGGCTTAACAATGCCTGATTTCCTTTACTTCCCTTCTTTGTAACACCTAGCGATCTACGCTTAGATAGCCGCTGTGGAAAACAGGCTGCTGGTTCCTCAAAAAATCAAGCATAGGCCCATTCTCCCTCTTGGGAGCATGCCCAAACACACACACACACACACACACACACACACACACACACACACACACACACAACTAGGCATGCATATCCTAAACTCTAAGGATCCCCACACATTTGCAACCAGGGAAACATTGGGCAGCAGCAACTCAGCCTGGGCTGATCCCTGACCTCATCTCCAAAGCACCTTTGCTCTGCCTTTTCAATGAGCCAAAGCAGCCCCACCTCGGCCCACTCCTTTCCGAGAATACTTCCAGAGAGCTAAAATAGCTCCTGTCGCTTCTTCTATCCTAAGCCCTTCCTGCTTTCACTGTTCCCATCTTTACTAAACGTACTCTCAAAATAAAAACAAAAAATTAGCCCGCCCTACCCAGTTTGGCTCAGTGGATAAAATATATTAATAAACAAATAGATAAAATAAAAAATTAAACATAGAATTACTACATGATCCATAAATCTCACTTCTAGGTATAGAACCAAAAGAACTGAAAGCCAGGACTTGAACAGGTATCTGTACACCCATGTTTATAACAGCATTATTCATGCTAGCCAAAAGCAGAAACAACCCAAGTGTCCATGATGGATGATGAACAAAATGTGGAATGTACATGCTATGGGATATTATTCAGCATAAAAAAGAAAGACAATTCTGGCACATGCCACAACATGGATGGACCTTAAAGCCGGTGTGCTAAGTAAAATAAGTGAGACACAAAAGGACAAATACCTTATAACCCCACTTAAGTGAGGTCCCTAGAATAGCAAAATTCATGGAGACACAGAGTAGAAAGGTGGCTGCAGGGCTGAGGGAAGAGGGGCGTGGGGAGCTGTTAAATGGGTAGTTTCAGTTTTGTAAGATGAAGAGGGCTCTGGAGATGGCGGTGATAGCTGCACAATAGTTTTTTTTAATATATTTTATTGATTTTCCCAGAGAGGAAGGGAGAGGGATAGAGAGCTAGAATCATCAATGAGAGAGATACATCGACCAAGGTGCCTCTTGCACACCCCCCACCGGGGATGTGCCTGCAACCAATGTACATGCCCTTGACCGGAATTGAACCTGGGACCCTTGAGTCCGCGGACTGATGCTCTATCCACTGAGCCAAATCTGTTTCAGCGCTGCACAACAATTGAATGTACTTAATTAACACTACTGAACTGTACACTTACAAAATAAGTTAAAATCATTAATTTTAATGTATATTTTACCACAATAAAAATCTTAAACAGGTGACATTAGTTTTAGTCATATTTAATATATTACAATATTCTCAAAATATCATCATTTTAATATGTAATTTTAAATATCATTGAAATGTTTTATATTCTTGTTGCCATACTAAGCCTTTGAAAACGTAACACTCAGCATGTATGTTACACTGACGGTGCCCCTCAGGTAGGGCCTGCCCATTTCAAGTGCTCAGCAACCACATGGAGCCAGTGGATGCCTTGCTCTCAAACCTCCTCGGCAGGCATCTGCATTCTAGTTGCAAAGACCCACATCTCCCCTGCAACACTTCTGCAGCTCGTCTGCAAACACACCTGCAGTTTTTCTGAAAACCCCACACCACCTTCAAACACGCCCACAGCTCTAGGCCAGTCCCCAAATCTCATTGCAGGCATCTTCAGAACCTTTGCAGGTTGATCTGACCTTCAAATCACTCCTCTTTGCATGAATGTTCATCAAGTTCCATAAGCCAATGGGAAGCACCCTGGCAGGGCCTCAGATAGTCATCTCAAAGTCGGGGAGCCGGTGGCCCGAGGCTGGGCAGGAGACCCCCAGATGTACTTCCTCTTGCTTTCCCTCTGGCTCTTCATCCTCCTCCTCTTCCTCGAAGATCTCCTCCTCTTCTTCCAGGAAAGCAACCAGCTCCTCCCGCAGCAGCCCCATCTCCAGCCCCAAGCTACACAGCTGGCCGAGCAGCTGGACATCCACTCTTCGAAGGTTCTCCTGCCAGAGGGAAATGGAAGTCATAGGCATTCCACCCAAGAGAGCATCCTGCCTTCCCCTCCCCCACCCACCACCCCAATCTGGATGGGAGCAGGTCCCAGCTCAAGACCTAACAAAGATTCTTTGCTTGACGAAACTTTGGATAGGCTCCTGTATCTTTTCCTAAGCCTACCTCTGCACCTCCTTGTTCAATCCACTTTTAGCAAGAATCCCCAGCCTCCACACCTGAATACTCTCCATATCCTATTGAATCGGGTTCCTCATCCTCCCATTTCCCCCAGGTGATGTCTGATCACCCTGGACCCTCTTCAGCAGGATCCTGCTGAGTCGCTTTACCCAAAATGTCCCCTTTCTGTTCATGTAATTTTCTACCCACTAACCCCCAGCGGCTCCTAGGTTGTAAATTTCCATTTGCCCATGCTGTATTTGGAGGTGATCTCTCTCTCTTCCACTGCACAATCCCGTCACAATGGTCTCTGTACCCATCACCTTACCACCTGTAACCTGTGTTCTTGGGCTGGTCCTCACTATGTCCCTGGACCTAACTGTCACCCTGCTTCTCAGTGTCTCCTGATCCGTTTCTGTATTTCATTGTCCCTCCCTGTCTCTACCTCCCTCTGTATGTGTCTGACTCTTAATCTCTTTGTCTTCGTTTCCCTCTCTTGTTATCTATCTCTGTGTCGCCATCTGTCTTTGTTTCTATGACTTTCCATATCCATCTTTCTCTGTCTCTATTTCTGTGTCGTCATATTTCAGATAATCTGAGTCTGTCTCTGTTGCTATCCTCAATCTCATCTTTCCATCTCTATCTACCTCTTTCTTTCTGGGTCCCTCTCTGGGTCTCTGTCTCTATTCTTATCTCTCACTCTTTGAGTCTATGTGTCTGTCTGTCTCTCTCTCTCTCTCTCTCTCTCTTTAGCTGTGTGTGTTTGTGTGTGTGTGTGTGTGTGTGTGTGTGGTGTGTGTGTGTGTGGTGTGTGTGTTTATTTCTCTATTCCTGTCTCTCAATTTCTGTCTTTCAATCTCTGGCCCTATCTATTTTCAGGCATTAACACTCATTCACTCTCCCCCCACCCCTACTCTACCTTTGGCCCCTCCAAACTCCTCACTTACCAGTTCCTCCCAGATCCACAGCAGACTCTCCCTGGCACCTTCGGTGTCTGTCCCTGGGGACGTGAGGGTCTGGCCAGCTCTCCATGATGAGGGGACACCCCTCAGGGCCCTGGGGGGTGGACCCAGCCCTGGGGGCACCAGTCCAGCCTGCCTCAGCTGTCTCCACAGCTCCATAGTCTCTGAGCAGTAGATGCCAGGAGCAGGAAGTAGCAAGGTCCAGAATGACCCCACCCCCTGGGAATCTGGGGGGTGAGGGAGTAAAGGGCAGTGGAAGGGTGGTGGTAGGAGGGTCTGACATGGCGTCCCAAAGTCCATTCTTCAGTGAGAATCAGCATTTTTTTTTCTTTCTGAAGTCTAACCTCAACTCTGTTCACAAGGGTCCAACTCCACCTCCTATTCCCATCCCAATCCCCACCTCTTCTCAGGCCTAACCCCTTCCACTGTGTTTGGTGTCTATTGATGCTTGGCCTCGTCCTGTCTGGCCCTCTCCTGAGTCCCTCCCACCACTCATCCTCAAACCCCAGGATGGTTCTTGCCTTCCTCCACTCAGGCCACCCCAGGACTTCCCAACCAGTCACCTGAGCAGCTAGGAGTGGCTCCAAGAGAATGGTCCCTCAGCAGGGCTGCCTCCGTGTCCAGGCTGCTGATTTCCACTGAGCAACCAATTCTGCTGACTCTAGACTTGCCCACAGATATTATTACTGTCAGCATTGGGCCCCGCCAGGGAGAAGGGTGGAAGACACTCCAGGCCTCTCTGCTAGAACTCCTCTGCCAGGCCCAGGCGTTCGAATTCCTTTGATGTGTCAATGGCTCCCAAGTCTCTGACTCCAGTCCTGACCATTCAGCTCCCTGCTCAGCCTCTCCACCTGGATGTCTCAAGGTGAATATGGTCAAAACAGAACTCTCCATCGGGACCTACCCCATTGTACTAGTTTCCTGGTGTTGCTATAACAAAGTACCACAAACGTAGCGACTCAAAATAGCACCGAGTTATCCTCCTACCGTTCTGAAAGTCAGAAGTCAAAAGTGGGTTCACAGGGCTCGGTTCCTTCTGGAGGGTCGAGGGGAGAATGTTCCTAAGCCTTGTGGATAGAAGTCTAACCCACTCCAGTTTCTAGAAGCCGCCCACACCCCTTGGCTCATAGCCTCTTCCTTTCATCACTCCACCCTCTTGAATCTACCAGCAGGACTCTCCTGCCGCCGTTTATAATACCCTCATGATTACACTCGGCCCCCTCAATTATCCAGGATAATCTCCCCATTTCAAGATTGCTAAACTTAACCACATGTTTTGTTTACCATAGAAAGTAACATATGCACAGTACCAGGATCAGAACATGGATGTTAAGGGGGTGGGAGGGGAGTCGGGGGTCAGGGGTCAGTCATTTTCAGCCACCACACCTGTCCTTCCAAACACTTGCTATTCCCCAGTTCTATCATTTTAGTTTCTCAAGCTGTTGGCCCGACCTTCAAAACGGACTCATAAACTGAACACTTCTCACCATGTCCATTGCCCATCCCTGCTCCTGTCCCCTCATCTCTGGTATGGATGGTGACAGTAGCCCTTTGCTGCTCCCTGCTCCCACCCTTGCCCTCTAACATTTCAGCCTGGCAGACATGGTCTTTACACAAATCTGTCCTGTGAATGCAATATCATCCTGCCATACCTGCACAGTCAGCCCCCTGCCCTCCTGTCTGACCCCGTCTTCTACCTCTTTTCAGTGGCTCCCTTCTCCGGGCCTTTGCACTGGCTGTTACACTGCCAGTGCCTGGAACACTTTCCTCCCAGAATTTTGAGTGGCTGTTTCCTTCCTATCCTCCACTTAAATGTCACCTCTTCCTATGGCCCTATACCACAGTCACTCCCTATTTTATTACCTGTTTTTATTTGCCTCTTATCAAATACTAGCTGAAATGATGCTGCTTATTCATGTTTCTTATCCATCCTCTCCTTGCCTGGAATGTTGACTCCCTGAGAAAGGGGCTGGGTCTGTCCTGTTCACCACGGTAACCTCAGCACCCAGAGCAGTGACTGCCCATGGTACATGCTCAGTAAATATCTGTGGGATGGATGGATGGCTAATTCTATCCACAAGACTTCACATTGAAGCTTCACTCTGAGCTCCAAGCTGAAATCATAAACACATCACAATACTAATCTTGAGACCTCACCTTCTCCTCTTGCTCTGAAGTCTAACCTCACCCACTCCAGCCTTTTCCCCTCCCAGGGAAAAAGAATGCTGGTCAGCTTTGGAGGTACATCTTTCCTTATTATAAGGAGGTAGCGAGTGAGAGCTGGAGAAGAGGGAAGCTCAGGGGAACCGTGGGGGCAGTCAAAGGAAAGGAAGGTACTCTGACAGGAAGGGCTGCCCACCTCTCCTCGGGAAAGTCTACGGAGAGGGCGCTCAGAGCAATCTCTAAACCCAAGAGTAAAAAGCGCGTGTGGCCGGCACCGGTTTGGCTCAGTGGATAGAGCGTCGGCCTGCGAACTGAAGGGTCCCGGGTTCGATTCCGGTCAAGGGCATGTACTGTACCTTGGTTGCGGGCACATCCCCAGTGGGGAGTGTGCAGGAGGCAGCTGGTCGATGATTCTCTCTCATCGATGTTTCTAACTCTCTATCCCTCTCTCTTCCTCTCTGTGAAAAATCAATAAAATATATTTAAAAAAAAAAAAAAAAAAAAGCGCGTGTGCCTTTAAGAGGAGCCTGCAACCATGATAAAGACAGAGCCAGGTGGGTGGGATAGGAAAGGGGAAAGGGCCGGCCCCTTCCGGTTACATAATCTCCACAAGATGGCGGCGCCCAGGGCGGTAGGTCTCGGGGTTCCTAGCACGCCCAAATGGAAGTCCCCTCGGCTGCCTCTGCCTTCGGGGCCTTTGCCGGCGCCCCGGAAGCGAGGGGCGCGGGGGCGCAGGAGGACCCCGGCCGGGCCTCGCGCTGGCCGCGGAGACGTGGCTGCTGGGGCCGGGAAGGACGGGTGTGGGTCGCGGGCTGCTGGGGAGGAAGAGGGGGCGGGTCTGGCAGAAATAAGCCTATAAAAGAAGCAGAGAATGCGGTCCGATTGGCGCACCCAGCCAATCAGAGGCAGGGATGAGGGAGTCCACGGGCTGGCGAAGGCGGGACTTGTGCCCTCCCCGGTAGTTCAGTGGTTAAAAGCAGCGCGTTTCCCGACCCACCGAAGGGTTGCGGGTTCGATTCTCGGCCAGGGGCGCCGAGAATCTGTTTTGCTGGTTCCATACCCTGAGGGAGGCAACCAATCTCTTATCTCCCTCCCACTCTTTCTAAAACAATGAGGGGGAAATATCCTCGCGTGAGGATTGACAAAAAAAGAAAAAAAGAGTGAAACTTGGAAGGGAAAGGGGGTTTGGAAGGGTAAGGCTCTGAAGAATACCAGTAAGGGAAATTCAGAACAGTTAGGAATATTGATAGGAAACCAAAGGGATGTTGATGGAATGGGGGAGCCAAAAGGAAAATACCTGGGAGGGTTAAGGGTGAATTTTTCAGTATTTGTGGAGAATTTTTGGAAAGAATTGGGTAAAGTCGGTAATGAAGTTAGAGAAAATTAAGAGGTTGGGAGATTACGAGAATTTTGAGGGAAAAAGATTTGGGCAAGTTTTTTTTGGAAAAAGAGAAGTTGGTTAAAGCATAAAGAAAAATTGGGGGCAGGCTGAGAATACTTTTAAGAGAAGTTTAAGGGTGGTTTGGAAACAAACTAAACAAATTAAGATTATATTTGGGGAAAAGAATTTGGTTATTCAGGAAGACTCTAGGGAAAACTAGGTAAAATGAAGGGAAGAATTTGTGGAAAATTAACAGGTCAGATAATGGAGGTTTTGAGAGAAAATAAGCATTTGAGGGGGAAATAGAGAATTTGAGAAAATCAAGAATTTTTGGCTAAATCAAAGAGACAATTTAGGGTTAAGAGGAAGAACTTGGGGGAAACATGGAGGGAAATTTGGGAATCCCAAATGCGGAATTTGAAAATTCTGAATTTAGTGAATCAGGAACATTGTGTGTGGGTTGGGGGGAGAGGGGGCATGTTCATAAACATAGAAAAGAACAGAGGCGATCAGCCTGGTCTCACAGGAGGCTCTCCAGACTCAGCCTTTCCTCTTTCTTCCAGTGCCTGCGCCTGGTGGCCCCCATATGGAATTTGAGCGCCAGTGGTAGCCGTTGTCTGAGCAGTGCCGTGACCCCTGAGGGCAATCAGAGGAAGGGGGGGATGTTGCTCCAATTCCTGGCTGACCGCTTCTATGATGTGGAGGCTTTGAGGGACTATTTGTTCCAAAAGCAGCTGTCAAAAGTGCACAAGAAAAATCGGTGAGAACCCCTGGCCTGCAAGACCCTACTGCTCTGCCTCACTGGTCAGAACCATCCCTGCCCTTGCCACTCCTGGGTGGTCCTGTGGCTTCCAGTACTCGCCATGCGACTTATATCTTCATGTATGGCTCATACCCTTCCCAAGGACTCCAGTTCATGTAGGCATCCTGCTGCCCATCATCTCCTCTTGGTCTAGCTGGCTCCTCAGACCTAACCTGGTGAACAGCAAACACTTGATTTCCCCTAAAAGATTTGCTCACCTCCATGCCAGTAAACAGCACCACTGCCCACCCAGTTGTTCCAGCCAAATTCTAAGGAGTCATCCCTGATTCCTCTGTCTCTCTGACGTCTACATCTAGCAGGTCAATAAAATACTAGAATATCTCAAATTTGACTAGTTCTCACCTCCTTCAGTGTTTGTAGCCAGAGCAGAGACTCCTCACTTTATGGTTGGATTACTGCAGTAATATAGCTGATCACTGTTTGCCCCTACAGTCTCTTTATAGGTTACAAAGCAGCCAAATGACTTTTTAGAAAGTAAAATTAAGAACATTACCGTTTTGCTTGAAATCATGAAACAAAGAACATTACCATTTTTCTTGAAACCCTAAAAGTTTCCAGTTGCAACTAGAATGAAAGCCAAACTCCAAAGCCAAAAACCTGGTACCTACTGAGCTTTGAGACACCTACCAGGGACTCTCCTCACCCCTGCAACATGGTGTCTTCATTGCTGTTTGTTCAACTGTCCTAATTTGAGCAGCTGAGCCTTGCACTGGCTGTTCCCCTTGGCCTAGCAGCCTCATGCCTTGACCTCTGCGTTCCTTCCTGCCAGTCAGTTCTCTGCACAAGTTTCAGCACCTCCACGAAGCATTTCTTATCAGCCAAACTGCACTAGCCTTCTCCATCCCCACCCTGACCCAAGCCACTCCTAGTCAGCCTCTGTTCTCCTCCTGGAATTGATACTGCCTGCCACTCGCTCTCCTGGTTTATTACTGTTTCTTCCTGTAAGTTAACTTCAGAAGGGCAGGGACAGTTATCTGCCTTGGTCACCACTGCCCCCCTGTGCCCAGCACTTAAGAGTCACTCAGTTAACAGTTGTAGCCTCTGTGTGTCCGTCAGTCCCGATACTGTGGACTCTGACCGTCTCAGCAGCACTGAAACATGGTGAGGGGCAAAGTGCTCCCCAGGCCTCACCCTCAGCTACTGTTCTCTCGGCAGATCCTTCGTCGGCATCAAGAAACGATACGGCCCGTACATCGCAGGAGCCTCCTTTGTCCTGAAGCAGGGAGGCGCAGTCAAGTATGACAGCAAAGGTGTCAAAGGGGGATGGGGGAGGCCAAAGATGGGCTCTCTAAGCCTCAGGCTCTTCAATCAGGCAGGCTTCCCCGTGAGTCCCCCAGCCTCTGGCCCCCACTGACAGTGGCTTGGAGCTTCGTCTCAGGCTTCCGTTTTGTCATCTGGAACATGGAATGATAGTGTATCTAACCTATAAACACATTTTCAGTGTAAATGCTTGTAACAAGGTCTGGTATGGCACATGTGTTCAATAAGCACTAGTTTCTCTTCTCTCCTTCCCTCTTCCTCTTCCAACCTTTGGGAGATTTCCACTGCCACCTTTTCTCTTCTTGCTTGAAAAGCAAAATTCATGTAGATTTTATCTACTTCTCATCATTCTAATTAAAATTTTTACTTGGTTTGTGCATTTCCCCCAGCACCTTCCTTAGAAAAGGAAGGTATCTGCCGAGACCGGTTTGGCTCAATGGATAGAGCGTTGGTTTGGGGACTGAAGGGTCCCGGGTTCGATTCTGGTCAAGGGCATGTACCTTGGTTGCGGGTATATCCCCAGTAGGGGGTGTGTAAGAGGCAGCTGATCAATGACTCTCTCTCATCGATGTTTCTAACTCTACCTCTCTCCCTTCCTCTCTGTACAAAATCAATAAAATATTTTTTTTAAAAAGAAAAGGAAGGTATCTGAAAATGTCCCAACTTTTGCCCATCTAGAAAGGTTCTTATATTGGAGCTCTTTTACATTATCAGTAATGTCTCCAGCCCTCAGCTTCTAGGTACATAAAGCTGGCCAAACATTCCATATTTAATAGGATCATCCTGGGACCCAATGAGACCAGATGTGTATACCCCTTAGAACAAGAGCAGACAGTACCATCATTGTATTAAATGGGCTGGGTAGTGGTCTCAGGAGGCTGGAGGTGATAGATGGGGTACCCACCTGGAACCTCCTTTCTAGATTCCAAGGCCAAGAGTGGATTCGGGCCACTGGGCATGGCTACTCCCGCCTCAAGTTGTTGAATTTCCAGGCAGTACCTATAGAGGCGGTGGATGCCAGTGACTGTGCCATCAACTACGAAGGCCTGGACAACATCTGTGAGTGGGGGGTGAGGTGGACATGGGCGGGGCTCTGCATTTTCCCTTTCATGGTGGGCTCCAGAAGGGTTCTTTCTCAGTGCCATCTGCCCTCTCCCTTCCGCAGTGGCCCTGAAGGAGCTGCAATCCCTGTTCCTGCAGCGCTGTCCCCATGTGGATGACTGGTGTCTCAGCCGCCTCCACCAGCTGGCCAGTTCATTGCAGGAGCTCTCGCTGGCTGGTTGCCCCCGAATCTCCGAAAGGGGCCTCGCCTGCCTCCATCACCTCCAGTAAGACCTCAGCTCAGCCTATCCCCTACCTCCATCCCCCCACCCTAAGCCAGGGCAGGGGCTCCCACCCAGCTCACATGGGATAGTGGGGCGGGAGCAGTGTCAGGCAGTTGGTGGTCTGCCTGCCTCCATGACAAACCTGGTGTCTGGGGGAATTAATGAAAACTCCATATTTTCACTATTATAGAACCTTAGGAGCCAGAGATGTCTATTTGTAATTAACACAATGGATTCATGGATGTGGGCATTCTCTAGACAGTTAAAGATTTAAGAAGCTAGGTGTTAAATGGGGGCCAATGCACCCCTCCATACACTCTCTCAGATGCTGTCCTCATGCGAGACTTCCCCCTTCTTGATTCCTCAGGAACCTCCGCAGGCTGGACATCTCAGACCTACCTGCTGTGTCCAACCCAGGCCTCACTCAGATCTTGGTGGAGGAGATGCTGCCCAAGTGCGAGGTTGTGGGGGCTGAGTGGGCCCAGGGCCTGAAGTCGGGGCCGGAAGAGCAGTCTCAGGACACAGCCAGCCCCCTCCCTACCTAGTCACAGCCCCTCCCCATCCAGAGGGATCTCAGCCAGGCGGTATGGAGTCACTGACAGTTATACTTCTGGCTTCCAGTTGGGCTCACTCATTGTGGGGGTTGAGGTGGGACGAGGGATGTGGCACTGGGGGGTCAGGGAAAGGAGAGCATGTGGTCCCCACCTCATGGACTGGCTACACTCTGGACTGAAGGTCACAGCTCCTGTCATCCTGTCAGGCAGCCTTTCCCACATACTTCTAGTAACTTCCTTCCTGGCCAGGGTGGGGCTGGTAAGGACTCTCGGTTGCAAGTAGCCCCAGGGAGCTGCATTCTCTCTGCGGCCTCCCCACTTTGCCCACTACTGTGTTGAGTCTTCTCAAATGAACCTTTTAAGTGTGCTGTTTCCTACCGCAACCCTATGGTATAGGGGTGCTCCTGGCATCCCAAAGGGATAGTTATTCCGTGTGGGACTAGTCAGCTCACTGCAGGGTACGGCATCTCTTGCCCACACTCACTAAATGCCAGTAGCATCCCAAGTCCTATGATGTTCCAGCTTATTGACTGACTGACTTCAGATTCAATGTTTTATCTGCTCTGAAAACTGGACTGGCCTTTGAAATATTTTTCCTTTATTAACTGGCATGAGCCTTATCAGTAGGAGGCGCTTGAGAGACTTTGCAGGAAGCAAGGCTTTTGCTTCCTGGTTCCAGCTCACGTGTGCACGCTCCTGCCTCGCTAGCTCTCTGGTGGCCTCTCCCATGGCCAGGGGGTCAGCAGCCTCCCCTGAAACCCCACCCTGCTCCACCTGGCAGTTTCCTGGAGGTGTATTTCACTGGGCTACCTCCTGTGAATGTCCACCACACCCCAGAGGTGATTTCCAAGGCACCTTACCAGTGAATCCCTTGTCACTTTAATTCGCTGTTGGAGTCAATAATTCTTAAAATGTTTCCTGTTCCGATTGCTGGGCTTTTCCCCCTCTCCAGATTGGATCCAAACTGGTATGGCATTGGTATCCAGAGTGTTCCAGGAGCTAGGCTCACAGAGATGGGACTGAGTCCAGGGCCTGCAGTCTCAGTCAGGCCATCACGGGTTTATTGTGATGAGGTGCAGCTGAAGCACCAGCCCCAGGAGCCCCTCTGGCTGCAGCACTTGACTGCTGTGGCAGCGATGACCATTCTAAAGATAGGCAGGGACAGGTTCTCTGCAGTGCCCTTGAATGCCTACAGCACAAGGACGAGCTCGGGTCTGCCACCTCAGCTCAAATCACAGAACTGAAGCACTTCTGTGACAGCCCCTATGGTTAGTTCTTGTAGCCACAGGGCTGAGTGTACTGAAAATGCAACACAGCATCGATGGTTGAATTCCTCTCCTCACGTGAAAGTGAGGGTGCTGACTGGTAACAGTGAGATCTTGAAATTTCGTACGCTGTTGTCTCAGGAGAAGCACGATCTTGGAAACTCACCTCACTCAGCCTCCTTAGCAGCATCTGAGGAGACCACCAGTCTTCCTGTGCTTGAAACCCCCAGATGTAATGGGGAAGAAGCCTTGAGAGTGTCCATTCTCAAGAGTCATCACAAGCACCCTGCTATCACTACACCCATAAATACCCCGGGACAAATCTCAGCATGCCCCAGGAGACAAGTGCTCACTAAGACCCAGGAGTGACAGCTTATACACTAAAATACTTGTTTAGTCAGAAACCTGGGGAACCCATGCAGGAATGGATTCTAAGGGTCTAAGACCAGTGAGGGTGGGCAATTTCACTGGTTCTCTGGTACAAGGGTACTTACTAAAGATTGTGGATTTAGTGGGTTAGCTTGTGCAGCTGGGGGTGGTTCTAACAGCTGTCTTGGTTGGGTAACTTGGACTTGGATTCAACACTGGCTTACAGTTAATGAGGCAAGAAGTCAGAAGGGATCCAAAGGCTTAGGGAGGCAGCGATTTTGGATTGATCATGGTCAACCTGCACGTCTAGCTGACCCCTAATCCCCGCCTTCTCCCCCCCCCCCTCCCGCTCTGTTCCACAGAAGGCACCTCTTCTTGACACTCAACTTTCCCTGTTCCCATTGCTGTGTGCTTTCCCTCCTGATTGGACCCAGATTGATGCACATAGCAATAAAAACTGTGCACTCTGAGATTTCCAGAAACACTCCCCTGTGGAGAACCCTGCAGCCCCTGGGAGTAGATAGTTGAGCCAGGAGAGTTCAGGGGGCTTGGACCTCTAAGCCCTGGGGGAGGGCTTAGACCCCCATCAGGGGTGCTGAGGCCCCTGACCCCAGTATTCCTGGTTGTCATTTCCCACTCTAGCTTTTATTCCATTAATAATCCCCACTTCCTCCATTACTGTCTTCCTCCAGCTGGTCCCATGGGCTCCATTATTCAAACTTAGGGGGAGGAGATCAGCACTGGACAGAATCCACTGCTGCGGCTAATAGGGTCCCTGAGACAGTCCTCCCTAACCCCAAGTGGAGTGAAGGGTCAGGCATAGTCCCACCCCAGGTTCCAGGAGGTCTGGGATGAGGAGGCCCCACCTGCTACCCTCCTCAGACAGCTGCTGCAGCCCCAGCAGCAGAATCCTCGAGAGGGCATCCGGTGTAAACAGGCAGACAACCCCTCCTGTCCCTGGGAGCCGGATGTGAGTGTTCTCGTGTCCCTGTGCAGCTATGGGCAGGACTGGAGTGGGGGCCGGTAGGAATAGGTTCCCACCCTGCTCGTCAGGCAGCCAGGCTCCAAAGAGAATGAAGATGCAGGGTTGGCTCAGCATGAAGGCTTCCTGTGCCCCAACCCTCTAATGCCCTCTAGCTTGGCTCCACCTGCAGTTGCCCCTTCTTCCATCTGGTCCTCTCCTGCTCCTCCCTGGCTTCGGCTCAGTTTGCAGACTCCCTCCACCCTCCTCTCTAAACCTTCCCCTTTACCCTCCCTCCCAAAGGGGCTTCCTGGCCACCCCTTATCTCTGGCTCACTGTCTCCATTTCTCTCATTCATATTCTCCCCCCCCCCTCTCTCTCTCCTCCCCCCCACCCCCCTTTCTTCCCTTCTTCTTGCATTCTTGAGTTTCCATCTGTCTTTCCTCCCTGCCTCCTCACGAGGTCCCCCTTGGCTGCCTGTCCTCACCAGCCCCCTTCCCCATTCCACCCCGACTCTGGGCAGCAACACCACCCCCATCTCTGGCAGGCTGACTCCTTCCCTCTCAGCACATTCTCTGCCGCCTTCTCCTTCCACCAATCATTAGCCCCTTGCCTCAGTTTTGCAACTTTGGGACTGTGCCTGTCTCTGGGCCATTCCACCACCACCCAGGTTCAGGCCTAGCTCTCAGTCTCACCCTCCCTCAGATTCTCCCAGTCTCAGCAAGCCAATCCCCTCTGCTTCACCAGAAAACCAGCCCCAACAAGCCAGAGCCCAATCTCTCAGGTCAGCCTCCTGCCCTCCCCCTCTTCCCTGCCTCCCTCAGCCCCGCCCCAGTCCCGCCCAGCCCTTGGGGCCCTCCCAGCTGCCTGCTCCCCCTCCCTGCCCCACCCCTCTGGTTGGGCTGGGCTGGGCTGGGCTGGGCTGGGCTGGGCTGAAGAACAATGACACTCGGAGAAAGAAGATTCAGCCCCAGCAGGACCTGGGCAAAAGGGAGGGAGCTGGGAGGGCCTGACCAGAGGCCTGGGGTGCCGGAGCCGGACCCAGAGGTAAAGAGGGCTCCCCAGTCCCTGGGGTGGGGCAGTTGGAGCAAGGGAGTTTGGGTTTCTCTGACGCTGGAAGGAGCTGACCCCAGGGATCCTGATTCCTGGAGAGGGGGATGAATGGGGGAATGGGAACAAACTGGAAGGAATTGAGCTGAGAGTGGAAAGAGCGGGTGTTGGAATGGGATTGGAGCAATGATTCCAGGTTCAGGAATAGGGGTCAGTTTAGGGTCTGGGACTAAGAGGCCATTACTGGGTTGGTGGGAACTATGAAGGCTCATCCTGCCCTCCAAAAGCCTCTGTGGCTCCTTTGCAGCTCCCACCGCGGCCATCCCTACCCTGAGCTGGGTCATGCGCTGCCCCAAGTGCCTTCTCTGCCTGTCAGCACTGCTCACGCTCCTGGGCCTCAAAGTGTACATCGAGTGGACATCAGAGTCTCGGCTGAGCAAGGTCTATCTGGGACCCCAGGGCACCCTGCCAGGCCCCACACCAGCCAGTCCTGAGCCCACCCTGCCAGCTAACCTCTCGGCCCGTCTGGGCCAAACTGGCCCACTGCCGTTGGCTTACTGGAACCAGCAGCAGTGGCGGCTGGGGGCCCTGCCCAGTGGGAACGGCACGGAGTGGGGAGACTGCCGGGCTTGGGGGGCTGCCGCAGCTGCTGAAATCCCCGATTTCACCTCCTACCCTGTGGACCTCCGCCGCTTCTTGCTGTCAGCAGCCTGCAGGAGCTTCCCTCAGTGGCTGCCTGGAGGGGGCCGTGGCCAAGTGCCCAGCTGTGGGGAAACCAATATCCCCCACCTGCTGCTGGCTGTCAAGTCGGAACCAGGGAGATTTGCTGAACGACAGGCCGTGAGGGAGACCTGGGGTGGTCCCGCTCCTGGAACCCGCCTGCTCTTCCTGCTGGGGTCCCCGGTAGGTGAGGGGGGTCCTGACCTAGGCCCTCTGGTGGCCTGGGAGAGCCACCGCTACAGTGACCTACTGCTCTGGGACTTCCTCGACGTTCCTTTCAATGAGACACTCAAGGACCTGCTGCTGCTGTCCTGGCTTGGCCATCACTGCGCTGGTGTGAGCTTCGTCCTGCAAACTCAGGATGATGCTTTTGTGCACACTCCTGCCCTGCTGGACTACCTGCAGGCGCTGCCTCCCAGCTGGGCCCGAGGCCTCTACCTGGGGGAGGTCTTTACGCAAGCCAAGCCCCTCCGGAAGCCTGGAGGATCTTTCTACGTGCCGGTGTCCTTCTTTGAAGGTGACTACCCGGCCTATGCCAGCGGGGGTGGCTACGTCATCGCTGGGCGCCTGGCACCCTGGCTGTTGCAGGCAGCAGCCCGTGTGGCACCATTCCCCTTCAACGATGTCTACATTGGCCTGTGCTTCCGTGCTCTTGGCCTAGCACCCAGGGCCCACATAGGCTTCGTCACAGCCTGGCCAGCAGAACTTAGGCCTGACCCCTGCGCTCTCAGTGAACTGCTGCTGCTGCGACCCATCAGACCCCAGGACAGCATCTGGCTCTGGAAACACCTGCAGGACCCTCAGCTCCAATGCTGACGCTCGGTGAGGATGGGAAGGGAGGGCCAACCTGGCCTGGACCCAGGGCCTCAGTGCCTGCCCCTTGCTCAGCCTCTCTTTCTAGGCTAGGGGTGTCGAACTCAATCAGAGAAGGGGCCAAAATCTAAAATCCAGCCTAAATCGCGGGCCGAATGGTTTACTGAACAGTCATAAACTGTCATTGTGATGGAAACGCAGCGGAGTGCAGTGATGACAGCGTGGTGCGGGCCACATTGCAAGGCCTGGCGGGACGGATTTGGCCCGCGGGCCTTGTGTTTGACACATGTGTTCTAGGCCATGTGAGGAGGCGGTCCTAGAATCACCACTGTTTGAGCCCCTCTTGGGCTGGCCCAGGCTATGGGACTGAGCAAAAGGAGGCAGAGGACTGTTTTTGTCTTCTTGTTTGATTGTTTGTTTTAATATGAACATCCCCCTCTGAGGCCTGGAGTGTTCTTTTGTGCCTATGGGGTCCTGGGAACTTTGTAAGAGCAGAGCTCAACCACCCATACCCTGCACACCCTGACCTTTACACTAGACACACTCCCCACCTCTACCGGACAGGGCCAGCTCCAGCAGCCTCCTGGCCACCTTGCTGGACACCAGGTTTGCCTCACTCCATGGAACACCTCACCCCACCCTGTCTGCTGAAGCTGGCCCTCAACCTTGTGAAAGTTTCCAGGAAGTAGGTACCTCAATGGCCTTCGCCTTATCCATCTAACTCAGTGGTTCCCAACGTAGGGGACATGCCCCACAGGGGGGCAATTTGAGAATGAATTATTAACAGTAAAGTTTTTGCATTTTTATGGTTATAGAAGCCTCATATACAGTATATAAGTATTCTGTGACATATTTATGCATTTCAATTCTCTATTGTTTTGAAACTGCTATTTTTTTCATATCAATTCATATTATTCTTTTTTAAATAATTTCTTAGTGATTTCTTCCTCAGTCCTTCAACTATCCTTTCATTTTTTTACTTTTCTCTTTCATGGATGACATATTCTTTGGAAGCTTGTTTAGACCAAGTTAAGGCTTCTTCCACGTGATTAGGAGTTCACTTTTTGAATAAGAATTGTGTGCCACAGGGGGCATCACGATTTCAGAGATGCTTAGGTGGGGCATGGCCAAAAAAGGTTGGGAACCACTGCTCGAACTGAAGGGGCAGGGTCCCAAACCAGTCATGAAGGACTCTCCTCCCACCTCCAAAACACCAGGAAACAGAGACCAAAGGTGGCAGAGAACCAAATGTAGAGAAAGTTTATTCACTGCCTGCTAATCACCTCTCACTGTGAGTAAGTTCCACAGGCTAACTTGCCATGCTTGCCCTAGCCCAGAGGGGCTTCCAGTCCTGGAGGCATCCCACCTAGCCCCTGGGAAAAGGCACTGCAACCACAAAGTGGGGGCTGAGAGAGCCCCCCCACAATGTAACAGCTTAGAGGAGCAGAAGCCCCACTCTTATTATCTCAGTCCTGCCCTGGCCCCTTGGAGAGTGCTGGCTGGGGAAGAGGGTGGTGTCCTGCCAGCTGCCTCCACCCCTCAGCCTGGGACTCTCTCGGGGTACCTGAGATGGATGGGGTGGGGCGAGCAGGCCTCACTTCTCAAAGTGGTCCAGGGGATAGTGCTCGCCATAGGTCTGGAGGTGACGGGCCAAGGACTCCTGCTGCTTGCGGAGCTGGGCAGGCATCTCCTGATACACATCCGAGAAGAGCAGATTGGGATTGGGCTTCAGCTTCCGCTCGGCCTGCTCGAAGGCCTCCATCACCTGGAGGACAAGGGACAGTGGGCGGGTAACTGGCCTCCCACCCAGGGCCTGCCTCCTACCTGTAGGACTTCAGTGAGGCATTAACCCCAAGCCTTTGTGTTCCCATCTGGACAATGAAGACATCATCATCACAGTGCTGATCACTAACATCCCCATCAATGCCCCCAACCCCAGAATTTCCATCCTTCGCAGGACTAGGTACTGACCTAAGCCTATAGAATGGTTTTAGACTCAACAGCTTTAAGAAGCAGGCAGGTTAGAGATAAGGAAACCAAGGCACAGAAAAGAGACTTGCCCATGACAATGTCGTTAGGGGCAGAGCTGGACAGACTGCTGCCTGACTCCAGGGTCCACCCTTACCTCTGGCTCCTGATGACCAGGGCCAGGGAGGACACGGGCTGGCTGTGAGTGGGACACTTACACCACCTGCAGATTAAGTCATCCCATTCCCCAAACTTCTGAAGCGGGTACCCAGGATCCCTCCTCAGAGAAGAGAGCAGAGTGCAGACATCGTGCCAAGGACACGGCTGAGGTGCATGTGCCCAAGCAGCCTAGCTCCACAGGCCATATTTACAGGTATCCCTGGGGTGATCCCTGAGTCCCCCAGTTCAATGTCCCCCAAAACCCAGCCTCCATCCTTTCAGGGTTCCCCATGATGCCCCACCTCCAGACAACCCCTGGGACTTCAGTTTCCAACAGAGGGAGCCCCTCACCTTCTTGCGGGACTGCTTCCTCCAGGCCTTCTCCTGCTCGTCATCCCACCAGCCGCGGCTCTGCATGTACTGCCTCAGCCTGGAGATGGGGTGGTCCTGCTTGTCCCAGTAATTGACCTCGTCCACCGAGCGGTATGCCGAGCTGTCGTCACTGGTGCTGTGGTGCCCAATCCTGCTCCAGGCAAGGAAGGGGATACAACTTGGGATGATAGGGTCAGGCTTTGGAGACCCCAGTGATCGACGTGGGGAAGATAGTAAAGATGGTGGCTGTCAAGGTTGATGGGAATGGGGAAAGGCAGGCACCTATAGGTCATGGCTTCAATGAGGAAGGGCTGGTTCTCCGCCACGGCCCGCCGCCGGGCCTCCTTGGTGGCATTATACACAGCGAACACATCATTGCCATCCACACGGATTGACAAGATGCCGTACCCGGGGCCTCGAGCCGCTGTGGGAACAAAGAGAGGCAGCTCAAACCCCATGGCTCAGATGAGGACATTGAGCAGGGAAGGAAAGGGGAGGAGAGCAAACTCCTGCAGCCTCCCTTGTGCCAACAGCACAGGAAGAGAACAGGAGGGGAGAGGAGATGACAGATCCATACCGATGCCATCCCCGCGGTACTGCTCAGAGGTGGGTGTGGAAATGGCATAGCCATTGTTTCGGCAGAAGAAGATGATGGGGCACTCAAGGGTGGCAGCGAAGTTGAAACCGGCATGGGCATCCCCCTCACTGGCTGCCCCCTCACCAAAGTAGCAGATGACAATCCTGTTGGCATTGGCCCGCTTGGCTGCGTAGGCTGCTCCCACCGCTGTAGGCAGTGAGAGGGTGGTAAGCAGGAGCAGAGCACCATGAATATTCACCACCCTCACACACACACACACACACACACACACACACACACACGCACTCATACATGCACACAAGCACACCATCACCCCAACCCCAGGCTCTGGGGTTCAGGCCGGCTGTGACCAAGCTATCACTGGGAAGAAAACACCTGATATCAGAGCTGGATGGTGTGGCTCAGTTGACTGAGCACCCATTGCCTCATGCACTGAAAGATCACCAGTTTGATTCCCAGTTTGATGGCATATCCCCAAGGTTCAATCCCTGGTTGGGATGCATACAGGAGGCAATTGATTGATATTTCTCTGACATCAATGATTCTGTTTCTCTCTCTCTAAAAGTCAATAAAAACCTATTAAAAAAAAAAAAAACTATTTTTTTTTAAATCACGTAGTATCCTGACTGTCCCCCAAATCTGCCCTATCCCCTCTTCTCCCCTCAGCTGACATCCACTCCTCAGTCCCAAAACATGAGCACCATCTTTGACTCCTAACTCTCTGTCATCCCCACACTTACTCTACCTTCAAAAATAAGAGCCAGAATCTGACACCTTCTCCCCATCTCCTTCACCTCCCTGGCCCAACCTAGACCCCTCCTATTACTTTCAGAGCAGCCAAAGGACTGGTCAGTTGTGAGCCAGGCCAAGTCTGCACAGCTGACCACATCTCTCCTGCGGCCCTATGGCACTAATCCCACTCTGGGTTAAAGTCAAAGGCCCTGAGGCCCCAAGATCTGCACTCTCCATACCTCTGTGACACCCCCATCCCCATTCATAGCTCCTCCCTACCCACAAACACATCAGGCAGGCCCCGCCTCAAGAATCCTGCTGGTTCCCCACTTGCCTCCTGGTCTGTCCTGAAATGTCACCTAGTGATACCATCCCACCTTTCCAATCACACAAAACTCCTACCTCCCTGTGTCCCATACCGCCCCCCGCCCGGCCCAGCCTCATTTCCCCCTGCGGGACCTAACCCGACACGCTCCATGGGTCACTTCTTCACTTTGTGTCCTGTCCGTCTCCCCTACCTCCATGTCAGCATCAGGATGTCGGATGGTTTTGTCTGTCTCTTATTTACTGTACCTAGAATGGCACCCACCTAACAGGGACTCCATACACTTGCACCCAAAAGGAAGGTGAAGGCCAGGGTCCCGCCTCATGAAAATCCTACCTACCTTCAGCAAAAATGCCACCTCCACCTAGAAGGCTGTCCTGTCTACCTCCCACTTCAGAGCACAAATGGCTCATTCCTTGTTTCCAAACAGAACACTATGAGCGAATGTACATGGGGCCTTCCGATGTGCCAGGCACTCTGCTAAGACCAGGTAGACACAGCAATTCATGTATCTGAGTTTCCCTGAGCAGAGAAAGCCGGAGCCCAGACTGACCCTCAATCAAGGGAAGGGAGAGCAGTCCTCTCCCATGCTCGCACTATGTGGGCGGCAGGCCCAGCCTTAGTGTGTCTGCTTCCCAAGCAGTTGCCTTTAACAAAAGCCACCCAACTGCTCTAAGTGCTGTGGACTTCCAGAATAAGCTTTAGGGGACCTGGACTGAAGCAGAGAAGAGTAGGGATCAAGAACCCAGGCTCTGGAGCCACAGTCCATGATTTGAATCCTGCTTTTCTAATTACCTGCCAGATGACCTGCAAGGAACCTGGCATACACTCAGCCACATGCAGTTGGCTATGTCTGTGCACGGACAAATGTGTGGGCCTGCCTGCCAAACCGATGAGGACACCACCACAGCCCTCCTCTGAAGGGTCCCAAACAAGAAGAATCTTCAAAGTCTGGAGGCCAGACCAATGCTCTGTGTCAACAACCAGAAAGCCCCGCTGGTATGGAGAAGGGCTGGGGCCTGCACAGGGGTATGACACTGGTCTGTGTTTCAGGCCCGGGACATGCATCCTCACCCTGAGGAATCTGTGTGGCCAGTGGAGAGGAGATGGTGACGAAGTGACGCTCCTTGCAGCCATAGTGGACGGGCATCTGGCGCCCCTTACCCAGGTCGTTCACGTTGCCGTAGCACTGGTTCATGAACTGTTCCAGGGGGAAGTCCCGATACATCAGCACACCTGCATGGGGAGGAGGCAGCAGTTAGTGAGGGATGGGGACCTAAGGGGGTAGACCAACCCCGTGGGGGTCCCAGAGCAAGGCTCTTCCTGCCCAAGCTTCCAATTTCCTGTTTGTACAGTAAGGAATTGGACAAGAGCAGGGGAGGCATACTGGCATGCTTAGGGGATCAGGAGGTGCAGGAACCAGGTGGTCAGGCCAGAAAACACAGGGCCTGGCCCTGGCTGGTTTTACACAGTGGTTAGAGTAGACTCAAAGGTCAAGGGTTCAGTTCCCAATCAAGAGCATGTACCTCAGTGGCAGGTTCCATCCTGGGAACCAGTCAATGTGCCTCTCTTACATCAGAGTCTCTCCCCACCCTCTCTCTCCCCAACTCTATCTCCTCTCTAACACACTCTTTAAAAAAAAAAAAAAAAAAAAAAAAAAAAAAATCGAAAAATATCCTCCAGTGAAGATTTTAATGGAAAAAAAAAAATTTTTTTTTTTTTTAAAGAAAGCACAGGCTTATCTCAAGAAGGAAGCCACTGTTCAGACCAACTGATTGCTACCCAGGGAGACTAAGTCATCCAGTTTTTCAAAAGATAAAGACATCTAGCTTGCTTTTTTTTTTTTTTTTAATAAGAAAGTACCTAGTTTCTTTAAACAAATCTCTGGTGGATGCCTACCTACCATCAAAGAGAAGCTGACCACAAGGCTCTGACGGGGAACTGTGATGCCCACCTCACCTAGCTGGTGAGGGGTCCCTGAGGCATCACAATCCAGGCTCTGTTGTTCTGAGTACCACTGTTCTCCTCACTCCACAGCGGGGAGATTGAGAGTCAAGGATGACCACAGAGTTCACCTCCCCTTACCTGGCACGAGTGTCCTCAGCAGCTGCCCAGAAGCAGGACCTGTGTTGACTGTGGTGTCAGGGCCCAAACAGCCCTATGTGGAGTGCCCAACTGCCACCATGAGTCCAGGACCCCCACTTGGTCCTGCCTGGAGACCCCATCAGCAAAAACAGCCCAGTCTCTGGGGAAATCTTCTTGCTAA